GTGCAGAGCAGCAGCTGGCTGGCTGGCTGGCATCTGGTGGAATAGCGATTCTGTTCCTGACTGACCAGATGTGCTGGCGGAGGTGAGGGTGTATTCGGTTGTCTGGACCAGGAGGAGGCGTAACCAGAACAAACCTGGTGGTCTTCCGGGGTGGGGTGGGGGGGGGTGAATGTGTTTAGCGTGGACGACGACGCCTTGCAAGAAATTTGTACCACTTCATCTACCTCGATTTGCCTCGTCTGCGTCCCTTTTCCCGCTCCTCGTGTTTTTCGTTTTGTTTTGTTCAAGTGCGAATTTGCCGAAGCAGCTGTAATACCGCCTTCTTCCTTCTTTATCTGTAGTTTTTGTACACTAGCCGGAAGTCGTTGCCTGTTTGTGTATGATTGCGCACATTAGTACGGATCTCGGTAACACAATACACGTGGACTATACTATACTGTACTACAGAAGAATTCGGTTCGTTTCAGTGACCTTTTGCGTAGGGAAATGCCCAGGTGTTTGATCGCTTTTGTCCTCCTTTGTGTGTCTGGTTGTCTTTTTTTCTTGTGTGTGTGTGGCCTGCGTATCACTCAGGAACGTAAATCTCCCTCCTCTCAGTCTCAATGGGGCTCCCTCTGTCGCGCCTCTAATCTGCTATCCACTTGGACATACTGGTAACATCCACCTGTTAATTGGTGGTGGTATCTGCATTACATGTGTGTGTGTGCTTGTACGTCACTTTGTGTTTGCACATGACCAACAGAACTAACTGTACTAGGAACGAATTAGAAATAAAATTGTGTGGATTTATCTTTGTGTGCGCGCCCGCAACATGATGCAATCCATATCAGTCGAGGTGATCTGATTGACAGGTAAATAAATTGATTAACTGATTGATTGGATCCTGTTTGGTAATCGATCACCGTGCGGTATTAGTGTAGTGTCAGCCACAGGTTGTCATGAGTCCACCGCTAACTCGTCATGGTCGTTAGCACACTGTGCACGTGTATCCGGATTGATTAGCTCATTCGGGCTAGCCAGTTTTGTATCTCCGCCATGCACTCCAAACCTGTGCGGCACCCTGTAATCCGTGATTCTGTCTCCCGTTCTCCCATTTTCTGAATGTGATGTGATTTCATTTGCATCGCCCTCTCCTCCTCTTGCGGCTGATGACTTGTGTGCGTGTGTGTGCGCGTCCTATACTTCTGTTCATCCTGTCCTCGATTCGTGCACAGTCTAACTAACCTCTGATCATCCAATCTATTGTTCCAGTTGTACGAATCAACGGTTCTTATGTGTTTCAATTGTTCCACTGTATCCCACAATGTATGATGGTCTGAACGCATCGGTTCGAATCCGTTTATCACTTATTTTATGTCGCCTACGTGTCTATCATACCGCTGTACGTACTGTCTTTGTTATGAGTTATCTGTGGTCGTTTTCATTTCGATTTTATCGACTTCAGTTGTGCACGATCAAATAAATCCCTCATAGGACGGGAGAAGGGTTCACAGTTGATCACGCCCTCTGACTGAGGACACGTGGGTGGATAAAAGTTGTGTATGTATGTTACGTGCCAGCGAAGCAATCGTTGAAATTCAATGATCTCTTTCACACAGACGCAGACAGACAGACAGACGACATAACTAACAGCGCTCACATTACATCATTGCATGAAGCATATATGTTTGCCATCATCCCTTCACGACTGCCTGATCGTTGTTACTCAAGAGATAAATGCTTACTGAGCATTGACGTGTGACAAGCTGTCAATGCAAAATCATTTGAACAGGGGTATTTGGTGTCCAATTATTAATTATGCTCTAACACCTGCACCGCGAATGTGTGAAAATGTGCAACACTCTCTTACATGTCTTTCAGACACATGGTTTTCAAGCCTCTTGCTTCATATAGAAGAAAATTGATCCCACATTTTGCACCAGTTCTATTCCCCCCCTCCCCGCGCATTCCATCATAATTTCGGTGTATATAAATGCAGTTCACTGCCCTCAAACCTTTCGTAATGATCTTAGTAGCCCAGACTGCTTTTCTTTGAGGTCCATAGATTTTCGCCTCATCCTAGAATACATGTCACTTGACAATATCACACCTTTACAGCCTTGAGAAGGTACACCAAATTCCCGGTACTGCGTTTTTCTCCCACAGGCTTGGCGAACGAACCTTAATTCAATGGCCCAATCTCGATCCGGTTGGATTGCTGCGGGAATTACGCACACACTATGGAAATCAATCGCACCATCTTGTGGACTCGTTGATTGCGCAATTCCAGTCAGCCGGAATCAATCATGGCTATCTGAATCGGACGTGCCTGGATCCGACTGATCCAGCCTGTCCGATCTCCGCTCCGAACTACCGTGGGAAGGTATGTGAGAGTCATCTCGCTTGCCTACCTGCCTGGGCGCGCAATCAAGTGTAGCCAGTGTCACAGTACATTGGAAATCTGTTTTCTTTTTCGTCTGNCGTCTGTGACCTCCCACACTTTCTGATGCCAGTCTTGGATTGTGTTCACTAATTCCAGCCGCTTTTCCTGTTCACATGTTCCGAGTGTGTGTTTGTGGTGGTGGGGATATGAGTTCAGTTCAGTTTCTACAACCGTTAATCATGCACCTTCTGGTTACTGTCTTTAGACTGTTGCCCGTTTACGCCAAAGCCATATAGCTCAGTGTCTCTAAGCCCCGGTTACGATTATCCTGAATTCACCATACAGGAAGCCGAACGCGACCCATATAACCTAGGGGGTAAAGGGATATGAGAATCTTAATGACCAGTTTATTTCTT